TGGCAGCCGTGGGGCGCGGCGGGGTGCGGCAGGTGGCAGCGCCGGCCTCGGATCGTCGGACCCAGGGGCGCCTGTGGGCGGGAGGGACGGAGGGGCATTGGGGGGGTGTGTGTGTGTGTGTGTGTAACACATACTTTGTGCATGTGTGAAATCAACAGAAGTGTCAGCTTGGAAGGAATGGACTCCCAGTGTTTCCCCAGAAGCAGTTACCCATGAATATGCCAGGTGTATGAGTGTATGTGCACATCTATACACACACACACACATATCTATATCTATATGGTTTGTCATGTATACAAAACAGGGTGCAGGCCCCAGGGCAAATCAGCCTGTCCAGGGCCCTGCCCCCGGATGCGAGGAAGCTGGCAGTGGATTTCATGGCGAGGGCGGGGTGCCGAGCTACCACATGTGCTGGGGGCGGGCAGTGGCAGTGTGGAGTCACTGCGGCCATGGTGCCCAGCTTTGCAGGGCCCCCTGAAGTGCAGGGCCTGGGGCGGTCGCCTTGATTTGACGCCCCCCCCCGACAGAGGGGTGTGTGTGTGTAAAAAACGCGCACACACATATACAAATATATATTTATGTATGATCAAACAAGGAGCAATGGCTTCTAGTTGCAGCAAGGGAAGTTTAGGTTAGGTAGGTAGATATTAGGTAGAGCTTTCTCATTACCCACAGAGGTTGTGGAGTGTCCATCCTTAGAGGTTTTTCAGACCTGGGCATACAAAGCCGTGGCTGGGATGATCGGGTTGGGGATGGGCCTGTGTTGAGTAGAGGGTTGGACTAGGTGACCTCTTGGGGTCCCTTCCAACCCTCATTTTCTGTGATTCTATACTGGTATGTATATGGGCAGCATCCCGCCAGAAGCAGTGATTAGTGAATGTAGTAGTGGGTGTGGGAGGGTGTACACATATATGTACATATACATACCAGTATGTTCATGGATCACTGCTTCGGGGGCGTGCGGTGTGCACTGGGAGTCCATCCCGTCACGCATGACATTTCTGTTGATTCCACTGGGAATTCTACCTGTGTGATTCCATGATCTGACCTTGAATTTGTGTGTTTTTGAGACGGTTGCCCCTGCCAAAAAAGACTAAATGGTAGTGCCTTAGAAGTGTCAGGAGTGTTTCTTGGAGATGGAGAGGGGATAGAAATTTAACAGGCTCCAGATAGATAATTGTATGGAATTTGGTTGGATCTTAAAACATCTTTCGCTTTAAAAACCCAAACTTTAGCTAAGTGCTTGTGGTGTCCTATTTCTGAACAGGAAAAATGTTAAATTGCATAGTCTCCTACATTTATTTTTTTATCTTGTTAGCTGTTGGTGATCATATTAAAATAAATGCATTGCATATTTGCAGTAATCAAGTTAGATAGATTAGGATTTAGACCCTAGATGTTTTGGAAACTCATGTGTGAATTTTATGAACTTTCATTGGAAATCTTCCTGTTAGTCACACCCAGAGAAGACCTGCTTTGACTGGCAGCCAAGACTCAACCCAACTATCAACACTAGCTGTAATTAGTGGTTCATGCTCTATAAAGCAGTATGTCTTGGTTGCTGTGCAAATACTAGAATCAATGTAAACAATAATGCCATCATTTTTAGCAATAAAAAGATTCAAAACACTGTTTGAATCTATACAGGTAAAATAATTTGACTTTCAACTGAAAAACCCCATTTGATGAAAATGGAGCATGAGAGGCCAGAATAAGAATGTCCATAATTATTGTCATTTGTAGCAGCAGGACAGTTCATCACATATTTTCTGGTTTACTGAGGCTGGTGACAGGTTTTTAATATATTTACATACAAAGGGCTTGGGGGTAAGGCTTTCTAATAAGCTGTCTGTTGCAGAACCAATTTCTGTAGCCTTCCACAATTACCTAGACTGTGAAAATTGAGAAATGCATGAGAGTTCCTTTGTTTGTATAGAAAGGTGGATGCTTGGCTGTGTTTTGTCGTCTGCACTATCATTTAGTGCTCTGATTCTGTACTTGAAAATAAATGGATGGGGTGGGTTAATGACAGTTTATAAGTGCTACTTACTGTCTGGTATCTTCAGAGGTATAAGAAAAGGCTTTAAAAATAAATGCATTTGTTTCCAGAGAATGCAGCTTCTTGGTAATAGCTGCAGGCTATTTTCATGACCTCCTGGAATTTCCCAGCTGCTTATTGTAAACCAGCAAATGAAAAACTCGGCGTTTTGCTACTAGGCAGCATCTTGACTAGCACTGCTGCTGATGGAGAGAAACAGGACTTGGTAGTTCACTTGAATGCAAAATATTCAGAAGAAATAATTTCTCTGGATCTGGGTCAGTTCTACCATGGACTCTTCATCTGTTCAGCAAGATGTCCTATTGGAGAACAGAGGTAGCAATGTGGCCTTTAGCAATTCTGAAGGACTCGTGGATTGCAAGGCCAAACTGGATCTGCCAGTTGAAGGTGAAATCACCAGTAAGTTGTTTTTTTTTATTTTTGTATACGATTTGGATCAATGTCTGATTCTTCTAGGGCCTCTCTGTTACTTATTTTGCTATGCAGATTATATTGAAAGGGCTTTTGTTGGATTCAGCAGTTGATTGCACTGTATGTTACTTAAGAAGCCTGATGGAGATTCTATCTGTCTTGTCTTATGAATTCCTCTTTAATTTATAAACTTCTTAATTTCTGTTTTAAAGCTATTAACTAAAATGCTTCTGGTAGCCAGTTGGGAAAAGGGATGTTCAGTGTGTGTTGTGTTTCTGGTCTTCAGCAAATAAGAGCTAGGGGTCTTTAAGACTTGTGTATGGGTAGAATTATTCAGAAATAACCATACTGAAACAACTGATCCAGAATAATTATGTGAGCCAACATTCCAGAATAAGATTATAATTTCCAAATCAGCTGAATCTACTTTTGGGGTGGATAAATTGGGCATAAGGCCCAAAACAAAACAAATAGATGAAGAAAAAAGGCACACTTCTTCTGGAATAAGTGTCCATATAATATGGAGTTTTCTACTCTGCAGTCACATCTTATCTTTTTATTTCTTTATGGAATTATTTTCATGTGTAGTGTTCATTTTAGTTTAAGAAAATAAAGTAGATAGCCTTTCATTTGCCAGAGTATGATTATGTGATTAATCATTTATCGTTTATAAAAATCAGAGATTAAACTGTCTCCTCTCTTTATCTCAGGATTGTCTTCCTAACAATTCTGTTGAGGTTTACAAATAGGTAGAACATCTTTCTCTTATTTTAATCTAATTATCCACCACTTCCACTGCTTTCAAGCAACTGAAGATAGGTTAACATAATTATAATTGCATCACTTTAGTTATAGGAAAACAGGTTAAAAATGTAGCTCTGACTGTCTGAACAGCCCCCATCATTTTTGAGTAGTTATGGATAAAGCCCACATTTGATCACTTATTTGTCAACACCGAGTCCATCTATATGTGCACTTTATCGCAGGGTTGACTAATTAGCTCCTCAGTAAAGCATCGCAGCCTACACATGCACCCAGTATTAGCACACAGTAAAATAACTGTCAGAGGATAGTACTGTCAGAGACCGTACTACCCTATGACAGATACGTGTGCTGAAATGCACGTGTAGATGGTGATGGGCTGGCTGAGGGTGCTAAAGTGTGGGGGGCTGCTTGCTGCCTAGCCCTGCACTTCAGCACCCTCACGCCCCAGCCAGCTCCTCCGCTGCCCAATGCTGCACCTGGAGTTTGGGGCTGACCCCTTCCCCCCACTCCACCAGATCCCCTGCAAACCCAGGGCTGTTCCATCCTGGCTCAAAGTGCCACAGTCCCAGGCACATGTGTAGATGCTGCACCCAGGACCAGCTGAACCTGGCACAAACTGCACTGTAGTTTATTTTTTCACCTTAATAGCACATGTAGATGCACCCACTGACAGTTTTGTTCATTTGTTTGTTTGTTTTACTTGTCATCATAGCAAAACATTCATCCGGTATGCTTACTGCATATCGCTTCCTGTGCCCTAGCCCTACTCAACATAGTTTTGAAAACACAAACTCCCCCTTGAAAACAAGTAAAACATCTGAGGCATGTTGCACTGAAATTGTTGTCCCATTATACATGGGCCTTATTAAACAAACAAATAACATAGGGGCTGCCATAGAGGTTATATTGTTGATTTAGTTATTCAGTGCAAATTTCCATGCTTGAAATTTAAATGACTCTGTACAGAATTTCCAGTATGTTGCAGCAGCATGCTAGGTCAGGTCAGCACTAGGAGACTGCTCAGGGATGTGATTTGTTAAAAAAAACCCCAACAAAAAAACCTTTCTACACTGGCAGAAGCCTTAGTGCACAGTTATACCAGCAAAATAAAAAAAGCTTTTTCCTGCTATAGTTAATTTCATTTGGAGAAACCAGTATAAGCTACAAGAACAAAAGCACTCTTTTGCCACTATAAGCTATCCTGACATTAGGAGGTTTTTCCAGTGCAGTTATGCTGGTAAACCTTTTCCTGTATAAGTTAGGCTCTAGCAAACTTGGGACATTACCTCAGAACTTGGATGAAAAAATATGCCATCTTTTTGAAGCAACAGTTTAATGTCCAAATGGGATAATACATTTTAATAATTGAAATCTGCCTGGCTACATGTAGTTTTCTAAAGGTTATCAGCAAAAGCCCTCCACAATGAGAGATGAAGGTATGTGGAAAGCAAGCAGTGGGAAAAATTCTATTTCAGTGTAAGTTTTTCTACTGACTCAAGTAAACATTTTTTTTTTCCAAGTAATCATGTAAGAATATTTCCTATAGTCTTGGAATATGAGAAGGTCGACCTTTTTTTAAGTCTCAGACAGTAATATAAAACAGTTACATTTTCAAATTCCTTCTTTTAATTTTAGAGAGAACCATTGTTACTCATTCCAAAAGTTACAAGAACACTACACAGTCTGTGCTCAGAAGGTGATCACTTCGACTTATTTTGGGTAGATTTTTTTTCCCACCTGAAATGTCTCTCTCCAAATTAATCATGAAATTCAACATAACAACATCTTTTTCCCATCCATATGGAAGTTTAGTGGACCTCTAAAATATAAGCCCGTAGAAAGGTTGTAGTATTGTTGAGCATGTATTTTTCTGCATGGAAAAGGTACAGAAACCACCACCAGGAATGAGTTCTGGTCTCAGGTTAGCTTTTGTGTATGTTTTATATAAAATAGTGGGGACTTATATTTTATGCTTCCAGCTTCATTATTTGATTTGTGTTGTATTCTATTATACATCTAGAAGAATATGCCGTTTTTTTCAGTTCTTCCCAGGGTTACCAACACTTTTTTGACTCGTATTAGAAGCTGGGAAGTGCAGTTGGGTTTTCAGTCCAGCATTTATGCATGTTGATATTGCCACTGTACTGAGGCACTAGAGTGTAGGGTCTTTCTTATGGTATGCTGCTGGTTCACTGTGACACTTTGGGAAACTTAACCTCCTTGTGTCTGAGTTTTTTGTATCTAAAATTTGTTTAATACCTGTCTAACCAGACTTTTGTGAACGTTGATAATTTTTTTCTGATACAGTCTGAGGTTTTCAGAAAAAGACCTTATACGAGAGCAAAGTATACCTGCCTGTTCTATTAATTCTGAATGGAACACTAAGCATGTTTCATTTAACTTTTCTTTCAAATAAACAATGTGGCAATTTCTAAACATTAAACCTGTCTTGATTACAAAAATAATTTGTTAGGTTCGTTTTCAGAAGTGCGTTTAAGTATGAACATGGTGATTGTTGGTGTAAACTAACACAATTTAACTTTCTTTTCCAGCTACCAGTATTAAGATCAATGAAGTGCCAAAAGAAGGGGAAAGTCTGGAAGTAAACAGTAAAGGAGATGCCTGCCAGAATGGGCCAGAGTCACTCTGTCCTGACTCCCTTTTGTCTTTTGACTCCACCAGCAGCCCCCAAGGTCAAGAGCCATCTCCAGGTGTGGCTGGTTTCCATGACAACCTAAGGAGGTCTC